TGAAACTCAGGAAATGATACTTTCAGAAATCAGAGGCCCCTCTCTCCCCTCCTTCTGAATCTAGTCTGTGTGGATATTCTGTCACCAAAGAGTACTGGGGTGTGTATCCACAGCAATATCAACCTCCTACTCCATCATGTCTGGCCAGGAGAAAACAATGGCTTTGTTATGGAATTACTGTGACTCCACACTAATCCCCATCCCACATTGTTTCTTTTATGACAGTCAGTGGTTTTGAAAAATGAAAATCAGATTATACGACTTTTCCATGTGTAGCTTGTCCAGTGTCTTCCACTTACTCTTGAAATAAGCCCCAATCCTTATGGAGACAGGCTTGGTCCTGCAAACACATCATATTCTTCAAGAATGATTAGCTCTTTCCTGCCCCAAGTTTCTCCCTGAGTGCAGAATGCTCTCCTCTAGTGTTTGCTTGAATTCACACCCACTCTGTAGGTCTCTACTGCTTCCTCTAGGTGCCTAGTCTGACCTCTAATTTCTATTATTTTCCCTTGAAATGGTCATTCTCCTTCATGGTTCGTATCACTTGTAATTGCACATGATCTACTTAGCTTTTGGCATTAATGAGGGATCTCACTAAGTAAGTTAGAGAGATCCCATCTGGAATTGACTATGTAACCTCAGCTGGCTTTGATCTCATGATCCTTCTGTCTCCATCTCTGCTGGGATGGTATTCTGGTTAGTGTTTTGCTAACTTGATAGACTAGAGTAGTCTGGGAAGAGGGATCTTCAAGAATAGAATTGCCTCCACCAGATTGGCCTGTAGGCAAGTCTATGGAGCATTTTTTTGACTGGTATTGGATATAGGGGCCTGGCCCACTGTAGCTGATACCATCCTGGGAAGGTGGTCCTGGGTTGTATAAAAAAGCAGACTGGACCACTCTGGTCTACAAAGCTAGTTCCATGATGGCCAGGCCTACTATACAGAGATATCCTGTCTCAGAAAAACAAACAAACAAACAAACAACACCCAACCCCAAATCAGGCTGAGATAGACATGAGGAACAAGCCAGTAAGCAGCCTGTCCCCATGGCCTCTGTTTCTGTTCCAGCTTCCAGGTTCCTGTCCCAACTTCCCTTCACGATGGACTCTTTCCTCCTAAAGTTGCTTTGCCCATAGTGTTTTATCACAGAAATAGATGAAAACTAGGACAAATGGCAAATTGGCACCGTTCTTTGTCTGTTTTATAGGTGAGGGAAATGGGGTATATAAAAATGTATTCTGGTCAAATACATTTGACCAGAACCCCACTAACAACAGTTAGGAAACCAGGATTGTAATTGTAATGGTCGGCTTCCAAAGTGCAGTGTCTTGTGGGAGAGTCAGGCAATGAGCAGGTCCAAACTTGAACATGCCATCTTCCCAAAACCTGTTTGTCCCTCTGCATTCATTGCAGAACATGGCACCATCCACCTCTTCCCAGTTGCTTAAGTCAGAAACCTGAGTCATCCTTGACTTCCTTTGCCCTCCCCAGGGAGCCAGGAAACATCAAAGCTGGTGAGTTCCACCTTCCCCAACTATCTCTGGAACCTACCACTTGTCCCTGTCCCCTGAGCCCTACTTCCTCCTCTCACTCACTTCATTGGTTCAACTCTGAGGCTCTAATCCATTCTCTACCTAGCAACAGGGGCCCTTTTCAAGTCATAAATGGGATTGTCACTCCCCTGCCTAAAACATCAGTCAGTCACTTAATACTCACACTCAAACTCTGCAGTGTAGTGCAGCCCTTGGTGAGCTGGCCTTGTTGAGCTCATCTGCCCCTTCACTCTCTGCTCACCCTGAATGGCCTTCAGCTCCTCATGGAGCTCAGGCTCACCTCTCAGCCTTGGTACCCTCTGCTCCTGCCACCCTCTTCCACTTTCCCTGCTACTGCCTTATCATTCAGGTCTCAGTGTAAGCATCAAGTTTTATAGAAAACCTCCCTTCTGCACCAGGTCTGAGCTTTACATACGCCTACATATCCCTGTAGCAACCTGCAGAAAATACTCTCGTAGCAACTTGTATCTTCCCCGTGAAGGCACTCAGCACACCATGGGATGATTTCATGTTGGCTGTCTGTCTTTCCCACTTTCCCAGGATTCACACTGCACCTGGTACACATCAGGCATGCAATAAATGATGTGAATTCCTTTACATGTGATGTCATTTCCAGAGGACTATTTCAGTGTATCACATCCAGTCTTCCAAACGGGCAAGACTCAGTGCCCGTGCTGCTGCTCGGCTGCATGTGTAGGGCACCTGAGAGTCTGATGTGCTATGGGCTGAGGCATTTCTGGTCCCAATTCACAGGAGAAGTTGTGACTTCTGCAGGACAGGCTGGTAAGAATTCAAGCTGAGCCGGGCAGTGGTAATGCACGTCTTTAATCCCAGCACTGGGGAGGCAGAGGCAGGCAGATCTCTGCGACTTGGAGGCCAGCCTGGTCTACAGTTAGTTCCAGGACAGCTAGGGTTGTTACACAGAGAAACCCTGTCTTGAAAAACAAAAGCCAACAAACGAACAAATGAAGAATCCAAGATGAGTTAAGTTGGGAGTGTGTGATTCTCCATCCCAAGGTTTTGCTGTGTCTTTACCCTAATGCATACATCATGGAATTCTCAGGAAATACTGGATTGTAAAGGAAGGCTTCCAGCTACTGGCAGTAGGGATTCTCAGCAGGGTTGACAATGAGCCTCTGGTACCCACCTGAGGCCCCATTCTCAGACTGTAGTCTGGGTCCCCATGAAGGGAAGTCATCCACGAAGGACTTAGCTGCCCCTTGCCCATCCCCTCCTGCCCAAAGAGCGTACCTGCCCTGGTGGCCCCTGTGGCCACAAGGCGTATGAGGCCTTTCTTCTTAAGGATGACACTGCTGCCGATGAGTAGGCAGGAGAGGAAGGCGAGACCCACACCGATGTAGAAGCCATACCTCTTCCTGACCCTCTCTTGCCAGGTGATCAAGGTGGCATTGTTGGGCTCTTCAGGGCTGATGCCTCTGACAATCTGACAGAGAACCTCTTGGGAGGCACAGTAGAGGCTGACTATGGAACCTAGAGGGAGAAGCATGCTGAGAGTCAGGCTGGGGACGTAGGTGTGGTTCAAATATGGAACATGGTTCAAACATGCTGGAATTGACACTGACCTTGATTTCATGTTTCTATTGCTCCAGGGCTCCACCCACACACCAGACCTCAACCAAAAATGACTATTTCCAATTCTCTATGATGTTAGCTGTTTTCTCACTAAGGACTTCATTTACACGGACTTATCAAGTTGTAGGACCTCCTTTCAAATAGGCAACTTCTTCAACTGTCATTCCACAGACAAGGAAACGGAGGCTATGAGGGAGCAGTACTTGTTCAAGATGTGTAGACTGTGAGGTTGGTTTTAAGGTCAGCTTGCTGTGAAGCCGAATCACCTGAGTAGAGAAACTCACCCGAGGGCTTGTCCTGATGGTCTTAACTGATGTAAGAAACCCACCCCAAATGTGGGCGGCACCCTTAGGTGAAAAGGGTACAGCAGAGGAAAGACTGAGCCCCTTTTGCTTCTTCCCTCTTGCCCGGAGTTAATTTACTGTTTATCTTCCGGCTGATTCCTTTCCTGATGACAGAATGTGCATTTATAGGACTCTGTCATCCACTGAGAACCAGCTGCCCTCCAGGAACCTCCACGATTTTAGCAGCAGATCCAGACTGCTACCCCCGCCCCTCCCCCCAGCTTCATGGACAGCTAGCAGATTCATGGGCTCTCCAGTGTGAGACAGCCAGTGTGGGACTACCCCAACTTCTGAGGTATCTGGCCTCAAGGACCAAGGAAATATCCCGTTCTCAATCTCTCAGGAGCGACACAACTGTTGTTACTACTGCAACATATGCTGATTTAACACACTCTTTTAATAGATACACATTCTGTAAGAACTGTCCCTCTAGGAAACCTTGGCTAATACACAGATTGTCTGGGTTTCAGAATTCCATCCTGTGGTACTGGCACCTCCCGCACCGAGGAGGGCCCCATCCAAGCTCTCAGCCACCACTGCATCCATTTCAGTGTCCTCCTCAGGGATCCATCCCCTCTCAGCCTCTGGATTTTGACTCTCTTGACAACTCCTGAGCTCACTTGGAACTTCTCTTCACTTTAACACCAGTTCTAGGTAGAGTGGGAATGTCATCTGGCAAATAGTCCACCCAGATCCAGATCAGCCTGAAGGCAACTGGGGAGTGAGCTTCCTGTGGATCAGACCTCACCATCCCAAGACTTGTTTCTGAGATGTGTAGTGTTTGTTTGGGTCAGTGGCTGGGGACTCTTTCAGGGCAAAATTGGATCCCATGCAGAACTGTCTGCAGTTTGCTTTTCTTGTATCATTCTTTCCTTAAGGCCCAGAGTCAGGCCCTGACTTGTCTGTCCCCCTGGCATTAACACCAAGGACAGAATTGGGAACAAAGGGCAGACCCTCAGTGAAACACAAAGTTACAAGTACAATGAAACATAAGAAAGCATAATCAAGACTCTACCAGTACCACCATGTACATGGCTCCTGTTCTAGAGTTTTCCTTGTGGAATCTTAACAACCACTTAGTGAAACAGTCCCAATGACCATTTCTAGGCCCTTAGTAGGAGAAATTAGGTTCAACAACCTTCCTAAAGGATTATCTGTAATAGAGATGTGTCTAGGACCATTCTACCCTGAACCCACCTGATCTCATCTGACCTGTAATAAAGGTGAAGCCAGAAGTAGACCCATGCCCACCTGATGGCTGAGTCTATGCTCAGGACCACTCCACACTCCCTGATAAACAGCCTGCCCCCACGGGGCAGGGATGTGCAGGATCCACCTTCATTGTGTCCTCTGTGTTAACACACAAACCTGTTGCAAACAATCAAAAACAGGAAACATTTCCAGGAACATTCAGACTTGGGGATGCACTTGAAGCTCAGAAGGTGAGTTTGTCTATTTGGTCATGCCAGCCTTGGAGGCAGTAGCTGGATCAGTCTCAGAAGACATACCCCTGAGATTCCTCAGCTTACCCTGCTCCCACAATTCTTGCTTGCTATTGCCCTTTATAGGTGTTTTAACTTCTGATCTCTCCAGCAGGTGTTGCAAAGGCCTAGACCCTAGTGCCAAGGACCTAAGCCCAGGTCAGACCTCTCTTAGACCAAGCTGAAGTTCCTACTCTGTGTCTAGATGGGCCCCAAATCCAAGGCCAGGGAGCTTGAAATTTGGTACAACTCCATCAGAATAGCATCAGGGTCGAGCAGGACAAAGTTGACCTTTTGAATGTGGTCCATGGCCGTGGAGAAAGGGTAGAAGAGCCCTTTAGGAAACCCAGGGGGTCAGTGCAGCTCAGTAGCAGGTGTATCGTATCTCAAAGGTAGAGTGCTTGCCTGGGAGAAGCAAGGCTGTAGGTTCCAACCCAGGTACCAGATGGGGAAAAGGAGGCATTCATTTAAAAAAAATAGTGAGGGGGAGGAAGGGCAGCAGAAAGTGAAGGGGGAGCAAATATGAGCAAGGCACAATTACATATGTGTGTCAAATTGTCTTAGCAAAACCCACTATTTTTTATGCTAAGTAAAAAAGTAATAAAGTAGAAAACAACAAAAAAACACAAAAGCTGATCTAATCCTCTTGTATTCTTGGGGGTAAACTGAGGTCCATAAAGAGAATAAATTTGCTGAATTTGGGACTGAAATCTCCCAGGGGATATCTGGGTGTCTTTGCTATGACACATCTGTCTTTCCACCATGGGGTGATGAGACAAGAAGTTTTCATCTTGGGGACTAACCAGACTGGTTCTGCACTGCTCTCTCCTGTTCCACCAGTTCGGGGCATCCTTGCCCAAGAGCCCAGGAAATGCAGGCAGTAAGCCAGAATCTGCTTCTCACCTTTCCCTTGCTTCTTCAAGTCTCACAACTAGTGGGTGGAGCCAGAGGGCTCACTTCAGCGTACCCCCACCCCCACCTCCACCCTAACTCAGCATCTCCGAAGAAGTCAAATTCTCTCAGTACAGTGACAAGATAGAGCTGTGGACCAAAGGGAACCCAATTTAGAATAGATGCCCATCTGAAAAAGGGGTAGCAAGCTGATAATCTTTATCTTTTCCTCTAAAATGTTCTAGAACTAGAGATGCCTGCTGCCTTGGATTAAGGGGTGAAGCTTAAAATGGCCTGCCTGGATGCTGAGGAGACTAAGGTCAGTCAACACCGAGAGCTGGCTTTGCTGAAGAAGGGACCTCAGAACACCACACAGGCCTCACTCGCCTAGACAGGAAGAATGTGGAAAATGTTCCAGATGAAACAGAGAACAGCAGCAGTGTAGGCTCAGGAGCCTGAATCAGAGAGGTGATTGACATTCCCCACTGTGTGACCTGGAGCAAATTATTAGCCCTGCCAGAGCTTCTGTTTCCTTATGTCTAGAACAGGTAGTGAAATTGCAACTACATGCCCTAGGATGAAGGCCAGTGTTAGCGTGTTTTCCCAGCATGTATAAGACCCTGGATTTAATTTCCAACATAGCAAAAAAAAAAAAAAAAAAGAAAGAGAAAGAGAAAAGAATCCAAAGGAAAAGAACAGACAAACAAAACGAAAAAAGTTTTAAAAGCCTAGGCTTAGGGCTGGGGAGATGGTGCCTTGGGTGAAGCCCTGTGATCTTGAGTCCTGGAACTTAAATGAAGGCAGGAGAGAACTCACATCACAAAGTTGTCCTCTGCCCTCCACATCCTCAATAGAGCTCTCATGCCCATAAATACACATCATGCATAACACACACACACACACACACACACACACACACACACACACACACTGGTGTGTGCCCATGCATGCTCAGATGTACACAGGCATGCACATACACATGCACACTAGTAATAAATAAATTTTGAAATAAAATCTAGGCCCAGTGCCACACACTTGTACTCCCTGGCGGAGATGGACTGAGGCAGGAGGATCACACATTTAAAGTTGTTCTGGACGACTTAGCAAGACTTTGTCTAAGCACAACAAAAAATTGCCTGCTTGTTAGAGTTTGCTTCTGGGATTAAAGGGAAGTTAGAATGCTCCAGAAAACCAAGGGTCTTTTCTGAGCATTTCTCTTCCTTTCCAAAAAGTGTTGTATGGATTTGGGGATGGGGAACTTCTCAGTTCCTCCCTTCTCTGCTTTGGGTGATGGACAGATATGTGGGCAGGTACCTGCTGCGACCCAACACTACCCCTGAGCCCCTTTCCCAGGCCACCTGTCCCAGTGCACTCTGTTTTCCTCCTCTCAGTCAGTCTTCCTCACCCCCCTGCAGCTGCCACTGGGGAGGTGACATCTCCACTAGACCCGGATCTTCAGGACAGTTTGGGAACGGGTTGGAAATCTGATCCTGACCACCACCCCCTAGCTTGCGACCCCATCAAGTGAGGAGAAGTTGGTGAGAGTGGTGGGAGCAAGGTAAGAAGCGCAGCGCCCACCCGGGTC